AATGTGACAGCCCTACAGATAAATGTGTTACATGAGTTAAATATGAGCAGAAACCACAGGTTCTCCCTGAGAACGGACCTGAAACTCAACTAAAATGAAGTCAGGTGTCTGTTCTCCATGTAAAACCAGCAGAACTGACATCATTCTGTAAAGAAGTGGGCGGAGTCTCTGCTTGTGTCACCAGGTGAGGGGCTGGTTGCTAGGTTACCAGGATTGTGACATCCCAACCTGCAGCTTTTTGAAACAGCTTGTTTTCTGACACGAAGAGAACATTTATATTATGTTATAAAACAGCCGGGAGTGGTTCTGGTTCTGACCCTGATTAAAACAGAACCTGTGAAAAGTGAAGTTTACAGRAAAGTCCCTTTAAATCAGGTGAAACATGGAAAACCTGCAGGACTGGTCCACAAGGACCAGGACTGAGCACATGGATGTGTTGAATCTGGACCCTGAGCCGGGTCAGGAGCAGCACACAGACCCACTGTTCTCATTAAGAGGTTCTGGTGGTTCTGAAACTTCTCAGCCAGTTTTGGACTCAGGTTCTGTTTGTTGTTTTAGATTTTCCAGAATCCAAAGCTGCCATCGAGGACCTGAAGTTCTGTCTGGACCGGACCAACCAGCGCCAGCAGCTCCTCACGTCGCTGAAATCAGCCTTCGAAAGCCGCCTGCTGCACCCGGGTCCGGTTCTGTCCTGAGACTTCCAGGAGCTGCAGGAAGCTTTAAGTCTTCTGTGTTTATGTGAAGAGTGAACACATGAACCTGCTGATGTGTTTCAGGTGTTCACACCTCAGACATCCTCACCGTTTACATCTCAGCCATCAAAGCTCTGAGAGAACTGGACCCGTCCATGGTGGTCCTGCAGGTGGCCTGCCAGCCCATCAGGAAGTACCTGAGGTGAGTCTGCCTCCACCTGAGGAGCTCCACTGTGATCCACCTGCAGAACCTGCTGGAACACAGCTGACACTGAGCTCTACCTGGTGTTTCCTGCATACAAACAGTCTGAACACGTTTGATAAACACTGAAGTATATAAATAACACAGTAATACTATTAAATACAGAGTTTTACTCACTGTTGAGTTCTGAACTCTTCCAGTTTCTAACAGGTCAGGTGATAAGTCTAACCTAATAAATAAATTTATAAATAAATAAGCTGAAGTCTAACCTAATAAATAAATTTATAAATAAATAAACTGAAGTCTAACCAGGAAGAACAACATGCATTGTGGGACATGTAGTTTCTGATGGAAGCTGAAGTAAACGGTGTATTTTCACACATATGTGACCCGCGGGCCTGTTAGAACCTCCATGTTGCCAACTGGACCTGTTCTGGTCCAAACATTTAAACAAGTGCAGCTGAACGGTGTTTTGAGTTTTGGTTAAACCCTGAAAGTTACATTGAACTTATTAAACATTTGACTCAAATTTAATTTTTTATTTTTTATTACTTTAAATCGGAGCTGCGGCCACAAAGTTGTTGGTGCCTGTTGCGGCGGCAACCCTCGAACCCGTAGGTGGACACC